GAAGTCGCAACGAGGTCGCAACGGAAAGTGGGCGTACGGCCAGTCTGACAAAGGCGGCACAAACTCTCGCGCAAGCAGAGCACGGGCTTTTTGTTGTCTTCCGAAGGCGCATACGCGTTGGTGCGTATGCTCCACTACAGTGGGCATACTGCAGTGAGCAGTAACACCGATTAAATTCATTGTCATTCCATGGAATAATCGGTTCATGATCACTTCATCAAGATGGCACGTTTATGAACAATGATTTTCGTGTACAGCTTCTTTTTTTTTTTTTTTGCTTCTCGAGACTAATGGAGACCCTTTACGAAAAAATGAAGTCATGACAGCACGTAAATTACCGCTCTCTTTGACACAACATGCGGTGTGATCGAGCTCATATAAATTCAAGGTAAACAAAGCTTGAGTAAGCGTTCCAGCGAAGCTACAGTCCCTTAGTGTTCGCTACCTCGGGTTCGTAGTCAGCAGGAAGGTTCATCGATATACCTGAATCAGTGGCCTCACCGTCAAGACAGAGTGCTGCAGTTTTCTTGGAGATGGTAGATTCGACTGCCGAATTCTTCCGCTTTCTCGGAGGTCTTGGGTACGGCGCTTTCTTCGATAAGTAGCTTGGAGCGTTAGGCAGTAACATCAGCAAAGCATCCGACGTTAGCTCTGGTCTCTGTACGTGGTACGCGTACTTCGCCGTTTATAACGTGCACGTAGTCTCCAAGAACACATGAAGGCTCGAAGTGTAGCTCACATTCTCTTCCCAAACCTTCTTCCGTGCTTCGTCTTTGGGTGCAGCGAAAAGCAACGGCTGCTCACTTTTTTTTTTCCCCAATGGTATACCCTAGGTCCGTTCTATTCACCTGCACCGGTCGGAACCGGTTCACGGCTGTGCACGCGAAGTTCAGAAATTGTGCAGCGCGAGTTCAGCGGTGCAGGCACAGCACGACACCCGAAACAAATGACGATGTGCCGACCAGGTGTTGGCCTTATTTCTTTTCGGTTAAGTTACACCGTTCAGCAAACACTGACCTATGGCGAAACGCACATGCGGGCAGTTTATGAGGCGCGAACATCTTGGCAAAACACACCGCATTTGTAGAGGCGGGTACGGCGCCTAAGCCACCTACGCCCAAGTGCTGCGTCGTCTGCTCAGCTGCACGCGCGCCTGCACCGTCAGCGAAGGAGGTGCAGGAAAATCGTGAACCGGTGCTGCACCTTTCGAAACGAATGGCAGGGTTCAGCGGTCGTCAATGCTGCAACGCTGAAACGAATGGCAAGGGGCAACACCTCGTGAACTGGTTCACGTGGTGCAGGCGAATCGAACGGACCTCCTGTTTCGCACCTAGGTGCAAAGCAGTGTCGTTGCGCCAATGACTCGACATTGCCTCACTGTCGTGTGGCCAGCAAAAGCATTGCCAGGAAAAACTTTCGTTAAGCAGGCACGAACACTAGGAACATGTCACTGAACAGCACCCGAGGAGGCAGAGCGGCGCAGAGCTGACAATCCTGCCAGCCCGTGCTACGGCAGCGCCGCCTTAAGAACCGGTTTTTTTGTCCACATGCGACGCTTGTCGCGATGCATGGCGAGAGAGCGTGCCTGAACACACTACCCCATATTCTAGTACACTATAGCCTGGTGGCACACATGTCACCGCCCCGTTATAAAGGGGACATAGCATCGAACCATCTATGGTCAATTTGGCGACGCCATGCGCCCACGATGCTTCGGGCGTAGCCGACCCGCAGGATGCTTCTGGCAAGCACATCCTCCTGCAACTATTCAGTTGGAGAGCACAAAATCATGCTAACGTGCTTACAGAGCCTTTATATGGAGCGAGAAGATCTACACAGACGAAACAGGGACATAGAAAGAACGTGACAGCGGTTAAGCATTCCCATATACGGAAGTCGGTAACACTGACCAGTGCCGCTGTTTCCAGCATGTTCTAAGAATTATTAAAACGCGACAATAGCCGATTCGCACAGGAGGCAGAGTCAATAGCGAGCTAAGCTGCCGCAAGAATCGTTAAATAATCAGATCCATACAAAGTGATCACACTACCCACGTGATGCCACAAGCACGCACACAATGACACGTACCATTTTGAGTTCGCACCGAGGCTCCAGAGGACCTTTTTCCTGACACTGAAAGCCCTGTGCCAAAAGACATTTTTGACTACAACTTGCGTTTGAAATTATTCCAACTGCCGATATCGCAACACAATGACAGCCCACGCCGGTGCCTCTGCTAACTTTCTGCTTTAGGCTTCAGGCTTTGTCAGCAGTGTTGCCAAAGTAAGGTAGTTGGCAGCGTAAAATCGACTAAAATTAGCGAAAAAACTTTGCATACAAAATAATATAATTCTTTTCAAATGTTCTTAAAAATATTTCAGGCAGTAAGCAAATTTATCAGCAGCCGCCGTGTTTCAAAGACTAAACATAGCTGTATATTCACGTTTTTTTTTATGCAAACCGCTTTTGGTGGCATGATCGGTTTGAAGGACAAGCAGAGGCAAAGTTCTGTGGTACTGTGCAGTATAATTTATAAAAAAAGAGCGTGAGGGCGTATGACCGACGCCACAGAACACCATCAGCCGACAGATAAAGAAAGTGCGGCTACTTTTTCCCTGGGAGACTACAGCAAAAGCACAATGTAGCAACGCTTGTCCAACAGTTGTTTCGTTTGCGACAGAGCGCAGGCCACGCATAGATGGGCCACGCGCCTGCATGTTCCCTTTTATAAAAATTTACACTGTACATAAAGTTAATAGTATATTAACCGCGATATTAACTCTATGGCAAGGTACGTACACAGAAAGGAACCGCTCGCAACGCTCATGAGTGCAGTGTGTATGCATAGCTATTTATTTCCCACGCCCCATTTTTTCCCCAGTTTTTTTTTTTTTTACCTAGATTGGTCACAGTATTTGCGGAGGAAGAAATAAACTTCCTCTATTATTTACGACTACTCGCTTCAACGAGAACAACTACTATAATCATCATCGTCATAAAAAGGTTTTTCTCATGGAGGAATTCCTCATGAAGGAAAAACTACGCTACATCTTACTAGAAGGGGACAGTGGAGTGAACGAGGCGGCCGCGCCGTATTTCAGCTGATTCTCCGGCGGGCGACACTAGCGGCGGCGCTGTCGTCTCATAGTACTGAAGATCTCAAAAGCATCTGCATTGGCAACGCGCGTGCCGTAGCCTGCGAAAGCGTGTACTTGCTCGTTTTTAGCGCGTTTAAAGCGTTTCTGAACCTTTATCAAAGTATGCACACCTGCTAAGCGCCATAGTGCACGGGTGAATATGCAGGCACGCCGAAATTGCGTCCAGACATTTCTGTTTCAAGAACCTGCTGACAAAAAAATAAAAAAACTTACAATCGGAATTTGCACGGATCCGCCTAGCTTCGCACTCAAGCAGCGCGTTGAGCTGCGCTACATCATAAGTGGCTACTGGCGGACTACAAAGAGATAAGTATCATAACCGCGATTAAATCATGCGCTCGTTTTCTCAGCAGTTTCTATATCAAGAGTGCTGTTCGTCATATAAGTCCACATGCGCTCGATTGTTTCATGAGAAACCCGAGTATAAGTAAAGTTCTCACAACATTTATATCGGTGACGACTCAACTATATCGTGCCAGTTTTGCGGAAGATAATAATTGATGCTTTCTGAAAGGCTTTCTTGTTTTAACCGCATGCTTTTGCACTCACTTTGCTTCATTTATGCAAGCTCCAGGAGGTTGAGCCAGGGAGCCGAGCTGAAGGAACGCCTGTACCACATAGTCAAGAACTCTATGCGAAAGGGGTTATCCTAAATATAATAAACAGTGCCAGTTATACACGGAGGAAGGATATATATAGCCCGTTTGCTAATTTGCGTAAATTCACTTTCACTGAAACCAGCTCTCATTTTCTTCCAACAGCTTAAATTGTGCTGCTTTCCAAATATTCTATTGGCGTAATGCCATTGCAAGCCAGCAAATTTATGACGATGTTTAGTATAGTAGGTGTAGTTCTTAAGTGTCAAAAATGTAGGCAGGCAGAGGTGCATTTTGTTTGGAGAAATTTAAGTTATATATGTACTCAGTAAATACACACACAAATATATATATATATATATATATATATATATATATATATATATATATATATATATATATATATATATATATATATATATATATATATATATATATATATATATATATATATATATATATATATATATATTCATGCAATGCCCCACAGGCCAGCCGCTATTTTTACGCGGTGCATTTCTCGTGCGACTACGTTATACTAGAACTAGTTTTGAGCCCTCATACTGCCGAAAAGGTGAAATTTACAGTGCGCACTTGTACAGAGCCATGCTATATTCAGCTTCGCCATCTGTAAGCGTTCGGCACAGGGCTACCCAGGACTTTCTTTTTTTTTGGGGGGGGGGGGGGGTGCAGCAGAACGGCTAACTTTGGCATTTGATGGTTGCTGTGAATAAGTGTAAATAATTTAGTATACCCTGAAAAATTAAATTTCGAAAAATTTTGTTGTGTAGGGGGTTCGATTCCCTTCCTATTCCCTCTTTACTTACGGCCTCCTGGTTCTCCATGCGTTTGACATGTATCTTTTTTTTTATATTTCACAGCTTTCTGAGCACAGCTAACTTCCAATACATCGGCTCAGTTATTTTTAATGTTATAGACACCTGCCCACCGAAGAAATAGTCAAGACAGAAGAAATCATATTAAAACACGCCCCTTCCAGATAATTTTCGATCTCTCACAAGGACTTTTATGAAGCTCCGATTCTGCAGATTGGCGTGTCATACTTCAAGGGTTATGACATCATGTGCTAGACATGAATGATGGGCAGGTACGAAGAAATCTACATTAAAAAAAGCACACCAGAGATACCGAAGCCCATAGCAATTTCTGCACGTGGCGCGCGGCTCTTTCAGTACTACTCGACTGCAGCGCCGCCGCTACGGGCAACGCGAAAGGTATCAGGCGGCGAGGCGCGGTCACGCCACTCAACACTTCTAGTACACTCTAACTACGCTTTCCTTCCTCTCTGGCATGATTGGTATGGTCATTCCATGGTCTTTCCTTCTCTATTATCGCATGTCGCGGAATATTCTGAACCAGCGTCTGAACTGACTAAACCATCCGAAGCACTTCACGGTTCATGAAGCGTACACAGTGACAAATTTTCGGTTTTTAAACTTTATCGCCATGATTAAAGCACGTTTGCGCTCTTCAAAGAGGGACTCAAAAGCAGTAGAGCCTGCTCAGACGGCTACTCCGCGCTCTTCAAAGAGAGACTTGAAAGAGCCCGTTCAAGGCCAGACAGCTGCTGCGCCCTCGAGAAAAAAGAGAGAAGCCGTGCTTAAGATTGAATATTCTGATGGTCCGCGTCGTGAAATGGGAGAAACAAGCCACTCTTGGATGCCTGAAAATTGGGAGGAGGTGTTGGAAAACATTCGCAAAATGCGTCGGACAATCGAAGCTCCCGTTGACACCATGGGCTGCGACAAGTGCCCCGACCAGTCCGTTTCACAGAAGGTGTGTTCAGCTTTCCGATACTCTCTAATATTTACAGTTCAGCCGCGCTCGCTTACCGGTGACATATACGCTTTGTCCGAGCGCAACTGGAAACCGTGCGCGAGACTACGACCTACTGGCTACTTTGGCAGCCCGCGTGTAGCCAGAAGTGGAAAATCGAAGAGGTCGACTGCTCGAAACGAAGGTCGGGGTCATAGAAAACACCTTCATAGTCGGGGTGGCAGTGTTGCCAGACTGCCACCAAATTTGGTGGCTAAATTTGCTTACACAGTTCCAGCTTTTCTGTAGTGTTGCTTGCCTACTTCCGTAAAACGATCAAGTTTGATCTGTTCATTGAAGAATGGAGCGTACATCGAAAAAACACTAGACCTGCACGGAAGGCGCAGCACAGTCACAGCGAAAGCTAGAAGGGCGGCCTTTCGGAGCTTTTTATAAACACTTGCTGGGTATTTTCAGGGTAGTAGGCTGGCATTTGCTACACTATCCTTTGTCATTCTTCTGAGAAGTGTGGTGTTCGCTAAACTAGTGCGAGGAATTTCGTGCCAATTGTTCATGCAGTGGCTGGCGATGATGAGGAATTATGCCTGAAGTGGGTATGCGCCACAGTTAATAGGGGAACAAGAACAAGCTTTCGTGGTGGATTGGAGCATTGGACGACCCACTCGTTACACTATTCCCATTGTGTGGCGTCTGGTTGTTCGTCTGCTGTTCTAAAACGCTTTGTTACTCATAATAACACAATTTCTTTCCCGACATCAAGCCTGCCTAGGGCATGTTTGCCAACTAGTCCCGAGCGATTTCACGCAACGTGATTACGGACACCGGCGGCGACGGTAGACTACTACAGCGCTGCGCAAGACCCGAGTTGTGATCTCTTAACACTGAAGTTGATTTGCGACACTGAAGTTGTTTTGCGCAGTAATAATCAACTAACTCATGAGTTGACTGAAGCAATTCATATAAGAACAAGAGCAGATCAGTGCGTCAGCCAACATGAAGAAGAGTTTGCCTTTCTAGATAATGTTTCCGAATAATCTTTCTGGCTTTGTTATCAGACCGTTCTTGTGCTGCCATGGTTGTCCTTTTGACTTGCTTGACACGCATGTGTTGATCTTTATTTGGTGCATTTATATTCTTCCTCTTTAATAAATCTTTTAGTTGCGAGTAAGCGCTTGTCCTGTGTTTCTTTGTAGTCTTTCTTCATGCGCCTAAACGCCATGCATCTCAACCAACTATAGCCCAAGTGTCGATTCTCTCCTTGACCCATTCGCCGATTGGTAAGCGAATTGCGAGAGGCAAGCCATTATCACGAAGAGAACTGCCTATTGTGCAGTGCACCAGACTCCCCCCCCCCCCCCCCCGATATTGCCATATGCGAGAGAAAAGTGCTTAGGTTCAACTTAATCGTGTGGTCTGGTTCACACAATAGGCACTGCATTGTGCACAATGAATTTCCTATAAATTTTTGTAAATGTAGTAATTTCTGTTTTGTGAAATGTTTGTGATATATTTTAAGTATATTTTTCATTTGTAATAATAAGTTATACACTTAAAATGCTGCCAACGTGCACTGGGAGCATCTAGCAAAAGTGCATGATGTACGAGTGAACTTGGATTTATTATTAAGTTTCAGAAACATACAAGTGCACTTGTAATGATGAATACTGATTGTGCTAAGAGTTGATTTGCATGCACCAGGGTGCACTAGTGAGTGTAGCAAGCTCTCTTTGCATTGTTTCATGTGGTCTCTTCCTGATGGGTCAATTCGTTTGTGCCAATAGGGCTTGCTCCAGCTGTCAGGCCACTAATTTGAATACAGTTTTGAAAACCATAGAGAGCCCTATCGGGCTAAAGGGGCCAGTGAGCGGACTAAAAATATCGAGCTTTGTTACCCTTCTCAGCGCACACTTCTGTGAGAGTTATGGAATGATCCTGAACTAATGCATGGTGTCTATTAAAATATCCTGCCTGTCTGCTGAATAAACCACGCTGGCTGAAATGACCAATACCTTTTTGTGTACTTTGCGACCAAATGACCTGACTAGTGCACTTAGTGTTGGCATTCCATCGAAGCTTAGCTTGTAGCTTAGTTGCTGCTCACAAAACTGAATCAAAAGAGATAGGCACTCGGTTTTCTTCATCATCAAATGAGTCGACGCATTAAAGCAGCACTTGCAGTCGTGAATGGAATACAGTACCTGTTCCATTACCACCTGCTTGGCTCACTTCAATAAAGCAGAACTGTGCATCAGGAGATGCCATGTTTTTTTTACAATGCGTAATGGTGGTGCTATTCATCACTAAAATGATGAAATGTCGTGTTCACTGTCCTTGTGATTCCACCTGAACGTAACATTGAATACTACATATGTACCTTTTTCGCCTTGAATTGCTGCAAGCATTGTGAAAACTCCACTTGGGTGTGATACACTACATGAGAAAGCAGTTTAGCGTAATGCCTTGTACAGTACTTATAGATTCAAACAAAGCATAAATTTTTTTAGTATCACAACTTTTATGTATGATTGCATGCTCAAGAAAACTCTGTCGTGTTGTGACGAATCTGGTTTTCAAAGATTGTCATTCCTGATTCACGCGTTCAATTCCAAGTTATGCCAATCTGACCCCAACTGATGATGGTAGAAACAATATTATGTGTGTTACTTAACCTTAATCGTCCTGTTTCAATCTCCCAGTACTGAACACTCACCTCTTGTGTTTATACAGCTCCGGGTATATGTACTGTGCTTAGGCATGTTGAGATGCATCTGTGGTTTAACAGCATTGACCAAACATTCCATATTGCAGCTTGTTCGTTACCAGCTCTTGGTCTCACTGATGTTATCAAGCCAGACAAAAGATGAAGTGACCCATGCAGCTGTGGGACGCCTGCGTGAGTTTACCCTGACTCCAGAGAGTATTGTAGGAGCTGATGAAAAGCAGATTGAACGACTCATCTACCCGGTTAGCTTTTACAAGGTGAGCATGTGTAGCACTTTATTACAGAACTTTAATGTTTAAGAGTCATTCACAAGCATCAGAATTGAGAATCTAAGGGCTCGTTTTTTTTTTCTTTTGTTACACACAATATTAATGATCGAGGGATATTAGTAGCAGTAATTTCAACTAATGAATAACCCGTCCGATGCACTGAGCTCCCTCCGTCCATTTTATAGGGTGCGCATTTCAAACGTTCGTTGTCAGCGCCGCCATAACGACGAGTGGGGAACACTCTTTTTCTGCCTGTTGACGCCACATACCAAATAATCTTATTACGAGCTGACCAATGGCAATCGAGGAGTAACTCAAGGGGACCAATGTTTAGACCAGCTTGTGTGGGCCACCATGTTGCATTCACTTCTGCTCGCACCACAATTGTCTTATCCCGTTCTTGCACGTCTGATTGGTTCCAACATGCAAATAAAAATTCGAGTAGCAACTGAATGAGTGTAGGTAGTTGCTTTTCATCTACAATTGCTATTTGCGACCAGGCGCTTCATGAACAACTAGGTCGCACGATGGGAATGTAATCATAAGGTCTCTTGTATGATGACTCGAAAGCGATACGGTGAGGATGATTCACTGTGCCTTTTGTATATGCTGCTTTAAAATAATTTTTAATCATGCAAACACCGCAAGGATAAAGTGAATGTGCAGCTGTGTGTAGGCGTATGGGCAATCCAGCGATTTATTTTTTCTTCATTTTGCGTCAATGTCGACTCAAGCTCAAGTTTGAACAAGGCATTGCCTTAAATGGGCCCTGCAGCACTTTTTGAGCACAGTCAGAAAATGCTGCCTCTTGGTAGTTACGAACATTACAGCTCAGCACGCAGCTTATAATTTACCAATTGCTCAGTCAGCTAAAAATCACTCCCTCATTTTTCTACGAATGATGCTATGTGCCCAAGTTTTCTCACCGTATACCCAAGTCCACAGCTGTTCGCTGATTTGAGCATCCGCATAGTCACTGCAGCTGCCACGAGATAATATCATGTGCCTACATGCGTGCGTGTGATTACACTAAAATCAAGGTGTACATAAAAGAAGTAAAGATTCTGCCTGAGGTCACGAGATATATTGACATTCTTGCCCCCTTGTCATCCTCCTCCGCTTGCTGGCAAGAAAGGAAAGATAAAAAAGCTTCAAGTGTGCGACAAATTCCTGTAACTCTGCTCGAATTAGACAGATTATCACATTTGTTTTGCCATGCGATTTGTGAAGCATCTTGTGCTAGTAGTGAAGCTATTCCACTATAAATATGAAAAGAGTAGCAGCTGAACAGTCTTGCTTTCGATGATCCCTTCATAGTTAAGAATCCCAACAAAGTTGTTAGATATTTTGAAGATAACCCCTCTTTGCTTCTCGATAGATGTGGAAAAACTGTTTTATTCTGTACCCCATGCACAGCTACTTAAGGCAGAGCATTGACAAAAAGGGAGAGGTACCTTTTATGAACACTGCTGCAGTCTCTGTTGAAAGGTTTTTAGCATTGTTGGAATTTCACATTGACGCAACGTTTATCTCGTCTCATGATCATCTGTTTGTACAGAAGAAAGGCATCTGTATAGGATCATGTGTCGCGCCTGTGCTGTGCAACATTTTCCTTTTCAACATGGATTGACACCTATAAATCGCTTTGCTATATTACAAGGTTTTGAAGATGTTTAATTTTGCTGATGATTTTTTAATTGTTTTGACAAAACAACCAAGTTGCACTTATTCTGAGTGTGTGGGTCAAATACTAGATTCTTTTGATGCTCTAGGACAAGGGCTCAAGTTTACTCATGAGCTTTCCACTAGTGACAAACTTCAATATTTAGATATTCATTTCACGATTAATAAAGGCCATGTCTGTTGAATGTATCACCCTTGTGTTCAGAAAGAATTTTTGAAATTTCATTCTCCTCATTTGAGGACTGTGAAGAGGGTGATTGCAACTGCCAGTTTTCAGATGGCTCTAAATAGGTCCTGCTCACATGCAGTTAATGATAGCTTTGAACTGGAAGTTTCTAGACTTGTTTCCGCCAGAAACCGCAGGAGACAATACTGCAGGTCGTCTTCCGTGGGGCCTTTGTGGTGAGTCGAGCATCAGCGCTGCTGCCTTCGCATTGCCTTGTGTTAGTTATTATATTATTGGTGGTAAAGTACAATAAATGTTTTGTTTTGGTATGGTATGGTTTGAGTGCGCCTACTGTCTCCATGTGTTCCGAGGGCATGCCCATTACGAGACCTTTCCTTTGTTGCTTTCCCTCTCATTGCCCTGCAGAATAAAGCCAAGCATCTGAAGCAGACAGCCAAGATGTTGCTGGAGAAGTATGATGGAGATATTCCAGACAGTGTGGAGGGCCTGTGCAGTCTCCCTGGAGTGGGGCCCAAGATGGCCTACCTGGCCATGAGCTGCGGCTGGGGTCGCACTGTGGGCATCGGTGTCGACACGCACATGCACCGCATTTCTAACAGACTTGGCTGGCTGCCTGCACCTACCAAGACAGCTGAACAAACACGCAAAGCACTCGAGGCTTGGCTGCCCAGGTCATTTTAAAATCATGATCACAGATTGAAGTGCACTGCCGTTACTTTTATCATCTTACTAATGGGCATCAGCCTGTAATCCAAAATATGGTAGGAAGGGGAAGATTGAGGGAAGATTGAAGAATCAGGGGTTGTTTGCTCAAGCCAATGTTTTGACAAGACTTCTTCAAGGCTAAAACTCGTTCTAATGAAATATTACGCCCAATCACAGAACTATATCAATTATCAGTGGTGGGGAGGCGGAGAGACAAATGCTTGCATGTCTTGCACTGTGAATCTAAGCGGGGTTACCGTTGGTGGCTACTTTGCATCCAAATGGCTAATTCACGACCCCATCTATCTACGAAAACTTTTTGACTACATTAGCAGGGGTGGAACATCCCAAATAGAATAGAGAGCAATTTCTAGAGTAGAATCTTACTTTTAGAGCACTAAATGCAAATTTGGAGCAAGTTACAGGAAATAAAACATCTATTATTTATAACAAAAGACCAAATTTAGAGCAAAAGAGGCTTTCATTTAGAAAAAAAAAAGGTATGTTCAAGCCATTCAACATTACCAAATCATGCAGTGTGAACATGAGAACTGCTGTTTCTACAAAACTAGTATTTCGATCTATCCCAATCAGCAAACAATGATAAAGTCCACAGTAGCACTTGCTGTGTCTGTCGAATCCTTTGACAGAATCTGTGAATTAAATGTGTATCCACGAAGCTGGGGACATTGAAGTTCAAGGGATTCGTGAAACTGAGTAGTAGGGGTAGTGAAAAAAAAAAACTTCTTTTTAAGAGTGGCAGAAGTGTCATACACTGCTCCAAACTATCACCAGCGACTTTTTCAGACGTGAGCAAACATACTAGTGCTCACAATTGTGCGTTAGTATACACGCATGAGTAATTGAACGAAATTTACTGCCCCAGTGCTAACAGCTCCTTTCAAATTATATGCTTTTCCACAGAGCACTAGTGTATTGCGGCGAAGGTGGTTTAAACAGTGTTGTGCACGGGTTAGAACAAGGCCAATAACTTTTCGAACACCGTTACACCCAACCCCACCCATTCTCCTTCTTTTTTTTTCATGATCGGGTTTAGGTATCGCGCGCGGAAAACGTGGTATGCGCTCTCAGCTCTAGTTGCTCACATGCCACAGCCACTTTTGCTGACCACGAAGTTCACATTTCTCACGCAATGTTTCTGGCTACGTCAATACATTTTTGTCTTGAAGTTGCGTTGTCCCTCTCATAGGTATTCGTTGTGGTGAGTGGACCGATGGGCACACAGCTTTGTCACTTTATCTGGTCGATCGCGTCTCGCGACCTAATAAGATTGAGGTTAGCGTGGTAGGTTGCCGTGGTTTAAGGTTAGAGTTTGTGCACTTAGATTAATTGATGACTCAAACTGCAGGTGGGCAGTGTACGTGGCCTGCATTTCTCGCTAAAATTAGCGCAACTGAGAAAATTTTGAGGCATGGCACAATTTTAGCAAATTTCATGGCGCAGCTCGGCGCAAAAATAGGGAATGGTATGAAATTGGCACAATTGGCTCAGCTGTTGCATCCCTGCATTAAACTTCTGTTTAGGTGCCAATTTTCTTTTTCATTTTCAGATTGAAAAATGAAGGAAGCCTGAAGATGTTTTCGACTTTTTTCTGTCGCGTAAGCTCAGCCACAGGCTCACCAAAGCACCTCACTGCAAAGTGGTTATAAATAAAATTGTGATCAGTTTAGGTTTGCCGCTTCAAGAAAAAACTTTAAACATTGTGACTTTCCCAGTGAATTGTTGGTGGGAATGCTCCAAAATTACCCTGTCTCTGGAAAGAACTATTCTGCATAAAAATATTGTGAGCGCTGACTGTGTAGTTTATCATCTTCACCTGCGCATACAAATCGTGATCATCATCGTCGTAGTCTCTCACTGCGTGTTCAGTTGCTGGCTCAAGCGCCTGTTTTGTAAAATACGTTTGCTCCATCGTACCTGATGTCGTCTCACAAGTGGTGGAGGTGCTGTGATCTAGTGTCCTCTTGCTCTACCGGTCACCCCTGGAGCTCTGGTCTGGTCGACATCTGTGCTTGCCAACAGTTATGGCGCAAAACAACGCACCCCCTGCTGTGCTAACCGCATCCAGGGGCCCGACGAATTGTGCACACCGTTAATTGAAGACGTTCTGGCTTTCTGCCACCTCGCCCAAAATGACATGCCGAATGCCGGAGGCCGATCGTATTCGCCATGTGCTGAAAGGCATCAACTTCGTCGCCTTTAATGCTCTTGTCATGCAGAGACCAACAACAGTTCAGGACATCATTACCACCTGCCAGCACCTTGACGCACTCAATGCGCCTTCCACAGACCTCCTGTGGCACTCGTCTTACTGGCGAGCATGAGCTGCGGGCTCTAATTCGCACCATAGGAGAGAAGAACTTCACAGCCTTGTTCCTGCCAGCGCAACTACTTCATCTGTGCGCTCGCCCCCTCCTAACCTGCAGGAAATTATCAAGGATGAATTGGCGTCGATGACGAGCGTCAGACATGCCCCACCCTTTGTGCCCTTACATGTGCATACGTATGCCGAAGTTGTCTCACGGCCTCCTGCACCAACTCCACCTGTACCTGCAGACGTCGTATACAATCGTTTGGCCACGATAGCAGCCAAGATACCAATACAACCACACTTCCCTTCCTGGCGCTCTACATGCCCTGTCTGCTACTACTGTGGCATACGAAGACTTATCTCCCGCTTTTGCCACCAGCGCCAGCAAGATGAACAATGAGGTTATTCATTGTACGAGAGTGACCGTGCTCCAAAGTCTTACCCCTACATTCCAGGAACCTACATTCCCTCGTCACGATGTTAGCCTTCACTTCCTCTGTCACAAGGTGACCCTCGTTCTTTCCGCTCACCCCGCTGTGGTTCATCATCGCCCTTCCGCCATACTACTTCGCCTTTACGTTTTGCCCTGATGTCCCTCAACAGTCACTCGGAAAACTGGACACTGCAGTTTTTGGAAGAGAAACTGTGCTTTGTCGAAGTCTCACACGTCCTCTTGTACGCCCTGCAAATTTACTGACTGCTTGTGTAGAAGGTATTTCGGTTGATGCACTCGTGGACACTGGAGCCGCCATTTCAGTCATTATTTGCAAACTATGTCATCGTCTATGAAAAGTGCAAACTCCGTATGTTGGTCCGGTGTTATGTGGTGCTAATGACAATCCAATTTGCCTTATTGGAAAATGCACTGTTCGTGTTTTGATTGACAGAATTCGCCACTATATACAACTTGCTGTGCTTTCTTCATATGCTCATCCGGTTATATTGGGCTGCGACTTCCTGTCTGCTGCTGTCATTTCGTGTGGTCCGCCCGTTATTCGCATTACGGACACTGAGCCTTTTAGTGCTTACGATTTCTCGTCACCTCACCTTTTCGCAGCTGCAGATTTTGTACTTCTTCCCGCCCAAGAACGTATTCACACAATTAGGTTGAGTGATAGCATTGGCAGTGATTGTCCCTAATCAGCGCTGAGGAATCGTGATCCCCTGTTGTTTAGTGCGGTTTTCACATGGTCATGCCAGTCTCACTGCCTACAACACGACAACAGAGCCACAACTACTGCGAGAGGGTTCCACTGTTGCCAGCCTCATCGACACAGCATGTGTCGTCACTGTATCATCTTTGTCTTCAGTCGCTAAGTGTATGCCGCCAGAAGGCTCATCTAATGCGCTTAAAGCCACTCTGAGTGCTTATCTTACTTTAACACAAATGAATGACTTAGTGGCCTTTTTAATGAAACACCAGACTTGTTTTGACATTTGTTCGGATGGCTTGAGTCAAACTACGGCGGCCTCTCATCGCATTGCCACAGATGGGTCTCGAATTATTAGTCGTCGCTTTTGCCGTGTGTCGCCTTCAGAACGCAAGGTTATCGAAGAAAAAGTCAATGACATGCTCACATGCAATATTATCAGACCTTCAGCAAGCCCTTGGTCTTCTCCTGTTGTCCTAGTTAAGAAAAAGGATGAATCAGTGCGATTTTGCATTGATTACAGGGCACTAAACAAAATTATCCGGAAGGATGTATATCCTATGCCTCGGACTGGCGATGCCCTTGACACCTTACAGGGTGCAGAATACTTTTCAAGCCTTGGCTTATTCTGGCTTTTGGCAGATCCCTATGCATGAGTCGGATAAAGAGAAGAGCGTTCGCTACTCCTGATGACCTCTTTGAATTGAATGTGATGCTTTTTGGGCTGCATTTGAGCAAATGATCGATACGGTGCTGTGGGGCTGAAAATGGAAGCCCTGTCTTTGTTACCAGGACGACATTGTCATCTTTTCATCCAGGTTCTCGCAACACCTGGAACGTCTAGACGAAGTACTCACATGTCTAGCCAAAGCCGGTCTCCAGCTAAATACCAAGAAGTGTCGGCTTGCGAGCCGCAGCATCAACGTGTTAGGTCTCATTGTCAGCAAGCTTGGCATCGAACCTGATCCTGACAAAGTGGTTTCTGTGTTGCACTTTCCTCCGGCTTATCTCGTTTTCCCAACAGCCGCTTATGATGACAACTCACACATTTCAAAGTTCACGATGGGGTGCTACTTCAACAAATTTACTATCCTCTCGGTAGCCGATAGGTCCCGGTCACACTTTGCTCACTTCGACTCGAAGTTTTAGAAGCCTTTCATGACGACTTGACGGCTGGCCACTTGGGCTTTCATAAAACCTACGATCGCATCAAATTTCGCTGTTTCTGGCCTGGCCTCTCCACTAGTGTTTTCAAGTACGTCGCTTCTTGTTTGTCATGTCAGGACTGAAAACGTTCACAACCTCTTCCCGCAGGCCCTCTACAACCTCTCCCGTGCCCGTCCACTCCCTTCGAGTCCGTCAGCATAGATTTATATGAACCCCTTTCGCTTACACCCGCTGGTCACTGCTGGATTGTTACTGCCACGGACCATCTTACTCACTATGCTGAGACGGCAGCTCTTCCTTCTGGCGCTGCCTCCAAAGTGGCCGACTTTGTTTTGTGTGCTGTTATCTTACGTCACGGTGCCCCTCGTGTTCTCCTGAGTGACTGTGGCAAGACATTTTTTTCTCATGTGCTCGCTGAAGTCCTACAGGCCTATGATGCCATCCATAAGACCACCTCGGCATATCATCCATAAACAAATGGTCTCACTGACCATTTTCATAAAACTTTGTCAAACATGATCTCTATGTATGTCCAGCCCGATCACAAGAACTGGGACAACATACTACCACCTTTCGTCACGTTTGCCTATAACACTGCCATTCAACGCACTACAAATTACAGCCCGTTTTTCTTTGTGTATGGCCGTGCACCATTTTTTGTCCTAGACACCAGCTTTTTGTCCATGGCTTCTCTCCTATCTGCGTCCCTTCCTAAAGAGTTTGCTGCCCATGTCAACCACTACTGCAGAAACGCCCGTGCCAACAGCTCTACCATACAGGCCCAGCAAAAAGTTTGTTGTGATGTGACACGTCGTGTTGTGTCATTCTACCTAGGTGTCAAAGTGTTCCTCTGGACACCTTTTCACACACCCGGCCTCTGTGAAAATTCTTTCACAGATACCTGGGTTCTTACACCAAGCTTGAACGAACATCGGCCGTGACTTATCGCGTTGCTCCAGTTAGTTCAGCTTCTGATAGTCGTTGTCGCAGGACAAAGATCGCCCATGTGTCTCGCCTGAAGCCTTATATTTGGCGCTCGTACCCTTACTGAATAGACGTCTTGCTGTGCGCTTTCGTGAAGGGTGGAAATATTGCGTGTGCTGACTGTGTAGTTTATAATCTTCACCTGCGCATACAAATCATCGTAGTCTCTCACCGCGTGTTTGGTTGCTGCCTCACGCGCCTGTGTTGGAAATACAAGAGTCGCTCTGTCGTAGCTGACGTCACCTCACAATATATATACAGATGCACCGAACTTATACTGATACTAGTTGTTGTGCCACCCGGTGCAAAATATGATTTATTATACTAAATTTCATAAAATGCAAGGTTATTTATCTTCTGAAACACTAACAGTCTGCCTATTTACATTATGAACAGCATTGTATTATAATTTATAACCTCTGACTCGCTATCTACTTGTCATAATTTCAGAGGGCTAGCCAAATGTGCTCTACCCCCTTTTTATTTTGGTTACTTTAATCTTGTGGTTTGTCTCCGCGGTTATTACCTGTCATAAGTAAATAGACATAGTCTTTTACGACTTCTAGTGCACTATTAGCTATCTCGAAGCGCTGTTCTCTTCCGAGTTAGTTGTACATTACTTTCGCTTTCTGCAGATTAACTTTAGGACCTACCTTACTGCTCTCCTCATTTAACTCCGTAATCATGTGTTGCAATTCGTCCCCTGAGTTACTCAGCAATGCAATGTCATCGGCAAAGTGCAGATTATTAAGGTACACTCCATTAACTCTTATTCCTAACTCTTCCCATTCTAGACCTCTGAAAACCTCGTGTAAGCATGCAGTAAATAGCATTGGGAAGATTGTATGCCCTACCCTTCTTGATTGGTATTCTGTCGCTTTCTTCATGGACCACTATGGTGGCAGTTGATCCTCTTTTCACCAAGTAGTACGTAGTTGCAAATAAAATGATTTATAACAGCTATCGGTGCGCCCTGGTTAAAATTGCAGGGAGCTGTGGGATGAAGTGAACCACCTGCTGGTGGGGTTTGGCCAGACAGTTTGCAAGCCAGCTGGGCCCAAGTGTTCATCCTGTCTCAACGTGCAGCTGTGTCCTTTCAGCAAGAAGCATGGCAGGGCAAAGTGAGCCCCTCCCAAGGCTGGATCATGGTGCAATGCCTTTGTATGATGGTGTCTCTCGCCTTCACTCAAGACATGTTTTACTTCATCCACAGACAGCAGGCAATGCAGCACAGTTTTTTTTGTTTTTTTGTTGAAGTAAACAACTTGCAATTTTACATTTCAAAAAGCCTTTCTATCACTGCTTATAAAAGTGAAAAAACGAGTTTTATTTGAAAGCAATCTTTATTTTTAAAATAGTGCACATGTTTCTACATGCAGTTAAAAAAAAAAATTACGTCACTCCTGAAATCTGTCTTTGGCAAACGGGCACTTTGTGGCCACTTGTTGAAACACAAGTAAAACGGCAGAATGGCAAGCACTTTCGTATGTGAGGCAAAAATTGTTACATTGTATATGAGCACTGTCACAATGCAAGTCTGAAATTCATGTATAAAAACACAAACATGGCTATACATAAATATCACAACCTTATATGCAGGCACGTAAGGGTCCTACCAAACATGCGAGTACACTGTGTATAGTTTTGTGCTTTCAACAGAAAAAAGCTGACAATTTCGCCAGTAAAATGGAGCATTGACATTGCTGTACACAAAAGGTTTTGTAGAATTACCAGCCATGTATTAGTAACCACGCACTTTCTGCTCAAATCAGCATGCAAACATGAACAGCCCTCACTTGCCATCACAACAGCACAGAAAAAGGCGGTCAAATGCAGCACAGAAAAGAACATTCCACCCACATGAAGTGTGTCTAGAACTTTGACATTTTGCTAAACATGTTATTTCTGGCACAATGCTCAAAACATCAAGAGAGGATAGAAAAAGAAACAATTGAAAGTCAAACTACCAACTGTTTTTTGACGGCAAATGACAAAAACCGAGAAAACTTCTGAGCAAGTGCAGATGCATAAGAGTGATGTCGTTCAGTGAAGAAGGATAACTCAGATAAATACAGCACAATTGATGTGTCACTTGCGGCTTACGTGATAACATGTTTGATGTCACTTTTTCACGCATCTGGGCTTGCTCAGAAGTTTTCTTGGTTTGCGTCCCTGGCTGTCAATAATTCCTTTTCTGGCGCCAGAGATAACATGTTTAGCAAGTTTAGCCATCAACTCACTAGGAGTTCTTCTTTGGCCCAGTGTACACAAAGCGAATTTTGTAGCTGCCAAAGAACTAAACCTGCTCTTCCTCCCCACAGTCACACTTGTAATGTTGACCTTGTAATTGCAACAATATATTTACTGCCACTACTCTTAATGGCTGCTAAAAGAAGGCACTAATGAGCAAGTGCATCTAACGATGCAGTCCCAAATAAAGCTTTTACACATTGAGTGGCACTTGCCAGCTCACACCACAGTGCTTTCACTAAACATTTTGCCATTGGTTTATAAACCTGAGATACCATTTGCTCTCTTCCTTACATAAATGCATGCGAGTATTTCCTGGTGCCTGTGGTTACAGGCGGCACAAAGTAATCTAATGCAAGTTCTTCACAGAACTACTTTTGTCAACTGCAAAAATATTACAGTCGTCCGCTGATTTTTTAGACACGTTTGCAAATTCATATGCTTTTGCAACACCATCAGAAGCCCAAGTCAACGTATCGGAATGTTTGAAATTTCCCACGCTGAATCTACTCAGCGTCTGATTTTTCAGACTCTCAGCTAAACGGCATTTATCGAAGCCACCACCATTGCCCATTCTTTATTGACAGGCTCAAATGCACGGTTTCTCGAGTAAATCTGTTTGTGACACTAGCGAGTTTCCAAAGCCAGCTTTGTCACAATGCCAAGGTGTTGTGCCAAGAAGCATACCAAAAATCTATAGGGGTACCTGTCTTGGCCGAAGTGCAGTGACACTTTCGGATGAATGCCCGAAGACACGATGGTGTCACTAGGACGAGTTAATCCCTAAAACATGATTATGGTAAGCATCTTCAGCTAAGTAGTGTCATCTAAGGGCATCACAGACCTGTTATTGCTCTGTTTCATGCGGCTAGGAACTGCTTGTCCGTCTAAGAAGGTTGTAAGGTGCTGGGAACCCCGCACCTATTTAATAGGCTAGAGTCTCGTTCGTTATCGGAATTAACCAGACAAATCGCTCCACCAACTAAGAACGGCCATGCACCACCATCCACTGAATCAAGAAGGAGCTCTCAATCTCTATAGTGCATGTGGCTTGGGACAGTTGTCGCAAATGTACAAGGTTAGCACTGCGCTGCGTCTTTGTGCGAGAACAGAGACACATTGCTTGCAGCAGATTTATCGCCCCTGAATGCCTCCACACGCATTATCAGCTGTGCGGCACAACTAGGACCAGTCTGTTCCACAGGGCCACAGTGAACCGGCAGAGATTTTCTCAAAGTAGCCAATGGTTTACTCGCATTGAGAAGTCTGGGTCGCAATCTTGCACATTTTGTGGTAGAACATCACGAGAGAACAAGAGGCAGCAGATTGGAAAAATGCGCCCAGTTTTGATTGTCTGCTGCAGGACCATACAATGCATTCATAAATGAAGTATTAGGACTGAATATCAATATTTGGGAGCATTGTTTTTAATGTTTAAAACAGAAAGCTGCAATAAGTATGACTTTTCTTGTTTTGTTAATGCTTTGATTGGTACTAAATGGAGTTGCGATTTCATGACGAGATCTTTACTGACAGTGCTGGTAGCCATTTTTGCAAGTTGTTGGCACGCGATTGGATTAAGCTAGAGACAAATGCTAATTTGCTTCTCCTGCTCAAGTGCTTATGCTACAATGCAATCTGAATCATCTGGATACTATTCTATATCCATTTTTTTTAATGCAATCTGAATCATCTGGATACTATTCTATATCCATTTTATTGAACTGAATGGTGTCTGTCAGTTCTGTTGCAATTCTTTGCCTGGCAAACGACAAAATGATTGACAGTGCTGCCTTTTTCCCCTGCTGTTCTCATGCCTGACGAGCCTCAGTTATTCAAGGAAACAAGAGACACAGGGCAAAGATTAAGGGGACAAAGTGAAGAAACGAACTGACCGACATTATTCACAGAGACAACGCCGATCTACAGAGGCCACCAAGTAAGGTAATCTGTTATCAGGAATAGGCACATGGCAACACGAGCAAATCATCACAGGCGACTAGAAAAGAGTCAGAGCATGCGCCAGAATTTACATTCTGCTGAAGTGTAAGAAATACAAAAAGTCACTGTTTCGCCGCAAGGGCGAAGCAATGAATGCGATAGCAACAACTTGGAATGTAATTCTGCGGCTAGCAGATCAAAACATGCAGCACACTCCTCATGCACAAATGACGCACGAAAACAACACACACAGGACGAGAGCTAATTAACAATGCTTACAGCTCGGTGCCTAACTGTTTAAATAAAACTGACGCATGAAACATAATCAGAAGTACAGATATGAGTGTGAACTAACAAGTCTCCTAGTAGTTATTTCGCTGTATTTGAAAAGCGCGCTCTTATCGCAAACGGGGCCTGCCCAGCGAGTGAAGTGACCTTTGTGGCCCAGGCAATCAACGCAATCGTTTCTGTGAAACGCCAAGGCACACGATTCTCCCCACCGAAGGATAAGCGCACACACACAAGCACCTAAGCCCCATGCCCCCCCATCTGTGGGGCAAAGTGCGCGTGGGAGAAGCTGGGTGCCAAGCCCGGGCAGCTTTTTTTCTTTCTTGAGTTTTCATATATATAGATACGTATACATATATGCTGCATGACGGCGGTGGCGATGGCAAAAGGCAGCCGAGGCTGTCAATATAATTGCTATCGCAATAAAAATATGCCCGTGCACATAAGTGTCAACCCTACTGTACAGTAAAATTGGCAGCGCACAATTCGAACTTGACATGATTACAGGCTATCTTCCAAAAATGTCACTTTCTTGTCACTCAAATTTAGTGCACTAACGCACTGGCTACCTGCCCTTTTAATGAGGAATGCCTCAATTGTTGCTCTCCTAGCAAACGCAAACATAGTTGAGCTGGAGAGTGGTGCACAGCCACAGTTGTCTGCCAAGTGTCCGCCCATGTTACTACTGACTGCCAAGCGGTGCATCCTCGCCCGTTCTTTGAAACATCGGCCCCTTTGGCGCTCACGCACCTTAGCGGAATATTACATCACATTGCTTCTTGAAGCATGCAGTGGGCTGTTTATTCACCATCAAATGCTAGACAGTTTGCATCTTTATGCTGTGGGCGTAGGGTGTCACGTGTGTGCTCAGTTTTTCTTTTTGCTCCTGCACTTTGTTACCACGTTTCAACTTCTGTAGGAGGCTTTCGCACACACCCATAATTGAGGGAGGAAATGAAGCATATCTACACCTGATAATTTGATTACTGAATTTCGTAGCAAGACGATGCTCACATGACTTCAATAGGGCTGAATTGAGGCACATGATAGCTATCCCTCTCTTGATTAAAAGGGCAGCTTTCCAGTGCATTCGTGCCTCTTCACTAAGTTTGAGTGATGAAGAAGTGGCGTTTTTTAAAGATTGCCGCTAAGCATTAGGTTCGAATTGTGCACTGACAATTTTGCTGTACAGTAGGATTGGCACTTGTTATGGGCAATGGCATATTTTTTTATTTCTTACAGTTAGGCTGTGTAGATACTAGTGCATGCTCCGACTCTGTGTGCTTCGAGTTGTTGATGAATTTGCCCTCGCGCTGCCAATAGATAGCTTCCTGGTTAGCTCAATTGGTAGAGCGACTGGCCCAGAAAGGTGCTGGTGCCTCCAAAAAGCATTTGCATTACACAATTTGCTCGTGTTGCCATGTGCCTATTCCTGATAACAAATTATCTTGTTTGACAGCCTTTATAGATCGGCGTGGTTTCTGTGAATAAACAGTTGGTGCCCATGTTTCTTCACTTTGTCCCCATTCTCTTTCCGCCGTATGAACCAACTCGCTCAGCAGCAACAAGCCCTGTTGACTTCCTCATGTGATGTTCCATCACAAAATGTGTACAAGATCGTGTCCCACAGCCTTTGTGTCATTGTGCCATTTCTGTGCTCTAGTGGTATCAGTGATAGTGGTCACCAGACTCCAGTTCGCCACTTGCACCTAATTAATCTTGTCCGGCACAAAACGCAGCTCGTGCCAGTGCCGAAATGATATGATAAATGTACTGCCAGACCTTGGGAGCAATTTCACCACCTGAGCAAAATTAAAAATCTTTTTTTTTTTTTCAGATAAT